TCGCAGTTTGTTGCGCTGTCCACTTTCAACAAAACACCGGCAGCAGGAGTTGTGCACATTCACAAAATATCCTCGTTTTTAGGAAGAGGCGTTTTGGTTTTATGATACTGCAAAAATTATCGACTATTTGGAGTTATGAGGGGTGCCAAGATAATCTAGAGGTACCCAAGATTAAACATTAAATGGCTGGAAACAAGCACGCCATGGGGACTTTAATTATGTCAATAGAGCACATGCTGGATCATCAGCCAGTACAAGCACAGACTCAGCTGATCCACCTCCAGCTCTAGCCAGTACTAACACAGACCATCTTAAGAATTTATAGAAAATGTTCTATTTTTATTCAATAAAATAGTTTATATATACCTCTTTCTATTTTGTACATCCATCCATTAACTATACCGCTTATCCTGAACAGGGTCAGGGCAAGGGCTGGAGCCAATTCCAGATGACATTGGGTGAGAGACGGGGTACACCCTGGACAGGCTGCCAGTCTATCACAGGGCTGACACTTAGAAACAGACAACCACACACACCCAAGCTCACTCCTATGGGTAATTCAGAGTTGCCAATCAACCTAAGCTGCATGTCTTTGGACTGTGGGACAAAGTCAGAGTACCCAGAGAGAACAGTGAGAACATGCAAACTCTGCACAGGAAGGCACCAGGTCAGCCGGGGCTCAAACCTGGAACACCTGGCACTGGCTGCCCCTGGTACAGCCTACTGAACCTGCTGCCCCTGTGACCTGACCCAGGATAAGCGATTAATAATGGATGGATGACTAGACTAACTAGTCACTCTTGTTATTGTATTTGATGCAGTTAGATTTTTTGATTTGTTATTGTTATTTTATTAAAATGTATACAACTACATATAGATGAGGGAACAATCAAACTTACATATACACATACAGTAGACAAACTACAACATTTCACACTGACTAGCAACACCATTCCTTATATGTGTGTGCCTTTGTGTGTGTGGTAATTTCCTCTATTTATTGGCACATCCTATCTCATCTAGAATAATGCAGGTATCTTTCTGTCTCACACACATACATTATTCACATTGTGTGAGATTGATAAGAGAGAAAAAAATGATAAATTGAAAATGAAGGAGCATTTAGACCCAAAGTAAGGTCACTGTGCGGATCAGAGTAATGATGACAGTGTAATGATGAGAAAGACAAACAAAGAAAAGAACGCACACATGCACACTGGAGAGTGCAGATTTAGGAGTGGCATCTCTACAACCACTGCATTGATTTTCATGTCAGCCAGTAAAATATGGGCTGTCTGCTCATTCTGCCTATCCTCTGTGACAAATAAGCTCTGTCACAGCCACTGGTGCCATGCTCAGTTTACATATCTGACTTGTAACACCTTTCAAATGGCAAATGAATCAGATTGCTTTTGATTTGGAAATATTTTGCCATGAGGTTCAGACTGTCACAGATAGTGCTGGGCAAGTCATTTGAAGCTAATCAATTTGTCATTATGTTATCTAATTGTTATAATCCTAAAATCTCAGCAGCAAAAAAATCCATTATATTACTTATTCAGTTTTATTACTTAGCTCAAAGATGCCTCCTAATCAATCCCAACCCTCCACACCAATGTCATATCTTTTATATTTAACTGCACTAACATAGGTAGGCTAGGTCCTAGGTGCACCAGATGGGGTTGGAGTTTTATACTTCATGAAAATATCTTTGATGTTTGAAAAACAGTTAAGGATCTCAACCTCATGTCCCCCTGACCACAGATAGTCCACAACATCCTTCACTGCTGAGCAGCTGTCAGCCATTTCAAATTCAAATACAAAAAAGTCAGAATCCTCTGTAGGTGCAGTTGTGCAATAATCTCTCTTACCCTTATCTGTCAGCCCCCAGAGTTTGAACATTGGACCAGTGGCAGCTGCAAGATGTCCATCTTTGCTCTCCAATGCAAGGAAAAACAAGTATGGATGGCCTGAACTATACAGTTTGATCTATTTGTGATAGTTCAATAACTATTTGAAATTTAATTACTGTCCCTAGGATACTGTTCATCAATGGTGCAATGCAACAAACCAACCTCAACATATCAATTCTCAAACGATTAAGAGATTTAGGAATAAAGGCATACCTTCACAATAAGATCTGGAAAGTCAGCTGTCATTTTTGAGAGGATTTCTTTCAAAGCAAGTCCTTAACATGAGGACTTCAAGGGTCTGTAGTAGCTTCCAGTACAAACGGTTATCCCCCCTCTACACATAGTTCACAATGGATAATAATGTTCTTTGAATCTGTGACTGAAATAAACTCAAAATAACAACAATACTTCCAAGCCTCTTGCTCTCATCCTCCAAATCTTTGTTTAGGTTTTTGAATAGTAGCCACCATGAACCTGCTCGTGCACACACATCATTAAATATCCCACCTAAGACAAAAGCCAAATCATGTTTTAGCAATGCTATAACGCTAATGTCATTACTGTTGTGAAAACTGTAATCTCTTACACTACTAAAGTGATAACATTATAGTTATGCATTACTAAGCAACATTTTATTGAACTAAGCAGCACTTAGAAAGTGCAAAACTCTGGCAGAGGGTGACTCAGTTTCCCCATAATAGCATAAAAGCAATATTTCCATGATAGTTTGACCCTCATAACATGATTGCTTGACCATGAAAAGCTACTGCTGGCATTTGCCCATGAGGCTATGCCAGGTGATGGTTAAGGAAAGCACATGGTATACCGCTCATTAGATTCTGACTGTACGCAGCTATAATGTCCAGTTGGAACACCAGTGTCCTCGCCAACGGACTACTGTGCTCTGAATGAGATGTAGGTGCCTGCTAATAGAGCTAGCTTGATCAGTTAACGAGCCCTCACATCTCTGAAAACATCAGAACAAATTTCTAAATTGGCATTACTTGGATACACTGAGCACATATCCTCAAAGTGTTTACTTTGTTGTTACAGTTGCCTGAAAAAATCAAAACTTAAATGGCATAATACCAATTTTATGGATGAAAATGACAGTAGGTTTGAGCCTGGCTCTAAATCCCTGCCATCAGGCTCTTGTCAGACTATTCCCCAGCTCTGTACTGTTGCCTCACTGGGCTCCTTCAGTCCCTGTCTCACACAGTGGGGTGTACAGAGTGGCAGCACTCGGTTTCCATTGACAATGAATGGGCAGCTGTCACTAACCCAGGGATTTGTCTCTGTATGTGCACAGTGTTTAGCAGTACAGCCATGCAATTTGGCTACAAGGGGGTTCACATACAGTCAGCAGCCTTTCCAGCACTCACAATGTTGAATAATTCTTTAAAAAATTCCTGTATCAAAATTATATGAATCAGCACCAAAATGTAATCAACTGTTCTGTGGGCCATATCCTACCTCTCCAAAAAAAAATTTCATCACATTTTGAGTTATGCTATTAATAAACAAATGAACAGATCCCCTGCCCTTGGCAGAGGTAGCAAGAGTAAAGAGAGTACCCACCTAATCACATCAACTTATCCTTACACTCATAATCACATACACACTTTCTTGTTTTTGTCACTCAGCGGTCCCTACATAGACATACATTCATTTCCAGGAAACCTTAATCATAACCATTTCTTGCCTAACCCTAATTAGACTTTACCCAGATCTTAACCAAAGCCGACACTTGCTCTAACTTTACACATCACTGTTTTCGTAAAATTCCACAAACTACATCGTAGGGACCTGCCGGCCCACAAGTGACCACACGCACACACGCAAACACACATAGCTCTCCTTCTGCTACACCCACTTGTCACAGCCAAAAAATATGGAGTCAATCGGAGACAAGGACAAGTGTGAAAATGTGTGTGTCTTTATTACATTGTGTGGACATTTCTGCATTGTGAGAACATTTTAGCCAGTTCTCACAAGTTCAAAGGGCTGAGAGTTAATGATTGGATTTAGGGTTAAAAGTAAAATTAGGTTTCAACTAGGTTAGGGGCAGGGGTAAGCATGTAGTTCTGAGATTAAAGTAAGGGTCTAGGTAATCCATTGTATTAGGTGTTAGGTTTAGGGGGTTAAGGTCAGGGTTTATGGTTAAGGTTGGGGGGGGTTAGTGGTTAGGTGTTAGGGTAAGGGTTAGCCAAGTATTAGGGTTAGGGTAAGTCTCCAGGAAATGAACGTTAGTCAATTGAAGTCCCCCAAGTAAGGAAAACAAGCATGTATGTCTGTGTCTGTGTGTGTCTGTGTGTGTGTGTGTGTGTCTGTGTGTGTGTGTGTGTGTGTGTGTGTGTGTGTGTGTGTGTGTAGAAGAGCGAGAAACTGACTTAAATACCACTGGTGACAATAACCTATACTAAAAGGCTCTCTCTGTGCCACTACAGATGCATTTCAGTGCCTCAGTCTTAACATCTGTTGGGAATGTGATGCTTCTGCTTCCCACACTGAACCCACACATGTGCAAGTGCACACACACACATGCAAAAAGAAAAAGACATAGAGGAGGAGAATGAAGAATCTTAGCAAAAATTTTGTTATTTTACCTGGAAGATTTATTTTATATCATAATTCTAGCAAAGCTCATTCAGCTGAACTCAAAGGTAAAAAAGGAGAGGGAATGTATGTGTGTGTATGAGAGAGATATAGCCAGAAAGGGAGGAATATCAGCCCTAAAAAAAACAAAAAATTTTAAATCCCTTAAATTATGCAGTTAATGGGGAAACCCATATAACCCCTAACATTCAGTGTGGGATTTTATTATGCAAATGGAAAGCTGGTGATCTTACCCTGGAAAGAAGCATCAAATTGGCTGAAGTTTCAGAAGGACGCGGTGATGCAGTTCAGATTAAAGAAAAAACCTATGTGTTTCTAAACATGACCATGATGCTGGTGATGACCACCGACTGGAGGTCATTCTCTCCCCTCCTTTACATATACCACCACATCTGTAGCAACCATGGATAAAATGCGATCTCGTTATCTGGTTGCCATGCGTGAAAAGACAGCTTAACTGATTTAGGTTACCTTGTTAACTGGACAGCAGGAGCGCTTCCCTGACGCAGCGGTGTCGACTTCAACTTTTCCCTCTGTCAGCTCCTTAAATCCAGAGAGCGCGTAGGTCAGGTGCAGATCCGCGGTTTGTTTGCCACTGTGCCCTCCCTGTCTTCTTGTATCTTCCGTTAAAAACGATGTGCCGCACGCAGCCAGCAGGGCGGAGTGAGGCAAGCGAACCGGCAGCGACTGGGCTGATGCATCGTCACAGGAAAGGAAAATGAAGAGTCTCACTCTGATGTCGGGGGGCGTCGTTTTCAAGCTTTCAAGCAGTTATAGTGTCACTGTTGCAATGCTGTGCAAGTGCTGCGTTGCAGCGCCTGGTCAGCACCATATTTTT